TGGGTTACCAACCAATCATCATCGTCCATAAAATACAGCAGTTATTGCATACTTCGTATGCAATAACTATATAATATGCATATGCATGTATTAATTGTCATGTCATTTGGTAAATTAAGAAATGACATGTTATTTTAAAGTCGGTATATATTTACTCAATTAATAAAAGAATTTTATGCTACTGTAGATTATTCCGAAAATCCGGGGGGGTTTTTTTAGTATGTTTATACATTCGTTATATCCATCAAATTTGCTTATTTTCGTTTTGTTGACTAAGGTATTTAATATTCGATCAAAGGTCTGCAAAACCATAAGCTTTGAAGAAAAAATATATTACTTGCAAATTAACAAAATCAATTAACAACCTTCTTGACATTTCCATTTTCACCAGTCACATGGTTTTGGCATTTTGGTAAACTCAGTATCTTTCGGAGAACTTGAACCATTACTATTAGTTCGTTGATGATTATACAAACTCGTCCTTCGTTTATCCCTGTTACTGTGAAAGACTGATGCGGGTTAGCTTTCGCGATCATCTTTTTTTTTTTTGTTTTTTTTTTTTGTTTTTTTTTATTTTAAGAAAATTTGCGGGCTCCCTCCATCATGCTTTGAATAAATTTTTCGGCATCGTTTAGCCTTATTTTCAGTTCAGTGATCTTGGCATCTCTTTTGTCGATCATCTGATCTCTTTGTGTGATTGAAGCTTCTTTGTTCTCGATTTTCATACCAAGTTCTGAATTCATGTCACAGAGTGATCTGGTTGCTTGTATAATAATGTTCCTTAAAGCAACGTCAGAACTCACAGTCATATTTACGGAGGAAGACTGTTCTATATCAGACATAAAGACTTCTGATTCAGTTGTATACTAGAATAGTAAATTTGGTTAAACTAAATTTACGGAAAAAAAAAGGCAATTAATTACAGTTTGTACTGGGTAGTGACTGAAGTCTCTGCCATATCATTGCGTGCTTTTGACTAATACATATAATAACTTTGTAAGAGTTTTGTAAATAATACCAACGCTATTAAATGAAAAAAAATATAATAATACACAGTGATAAAAGATTGTTGCAAGCATAATTAAAAAAATTATGTGATGTTTTACACTATGAATAACTAATCAAAATACAGAATTAGTTTATTGAAACACAGGTATGGCATAAATCACCATATAAACACACACCTTGATATGTTAAATTTCACTTATTAAAGCCTATATTACTGGTATATCTGGTGATTTATTGTATGATTCTAATGTCACCAACATAAAAAATTTCATTAAAAATTTTTCATTGTTGATTAAGCTCACTATTATCAAAAATTAGCAAGGAAATCTTTTTTTCACCAAAAATTTTAACAAGGTTTTGTTCCTCTCGAACTCTCTAAAAATCAATTATATTCATTGTATATTAAATAAATAAAAAAATAAATCAATCATATTTGTTAATGATAATAATAAAACAGTTATATAACCTTTGATCGGTCAGCATTACTAGTTTCAGTTGTTTTGGTTGATTCTGATTTCTAATATATGTATAATAAATAATTGTAAGTAAAAGTATGCTTAATAATAAAGTATTCTATTGACTTTTAATAATAATTTCTGGATTATTACTATTAATAGGCAATCCACCAGTCACCTGGATAAAAATTTTTTTTATATATAAATTTTACTATAAGTGTGAATGCACAGCGCTTCTATCTAAAACTTTTTTTTATACTAAGTAAATCACTCTTCAGCTTTTAACAAAAGTTGTAGAGCTCATCAAAATGCATTTAATATTGTAAGGATATTAAAATTGGTCTAGTAGTTCTTGAGAAATCTTTAAAAAACTTCTTTTTCATATATAAAATTTTTTTAAAAAAAATCGATTTTTTTTAAAGAAATTTTATATGTAAAGAAGAAGTTTTTTAAAGATTTTTCAAGAACTACCAAACCAATTTTAATATTCTTACAGTATTAAATACATTTTAATAAGCTCTACAACTTTTGTTAGAAGCTAAAGAGTGATTTACTTAGTATAAAAAAAAGTTTTAGATAGAAATGCTATGCATTCACACTTATAGTAAAATTTATATATAAAAAAAAATTTTTTTATCCAAATGACTGGCAGATTGCCTACTAAATAGTCAATTATTAACAACCAAAGTTCAAATTAATATTCATTATTAGACAAAGCTTTTTCAACAACAAAAAAGCAGACCAACTCCTTCTCTAAATTTAGCGGCCCTTATTGGCAAAAACTTTCTAAAATTACCATTATTGTAACCAACTATCTAACAAATAGCTTAAGCTGTTAATCCAGAGTGAATCTTTGTGCTAACACTAAGGTCACCCAACAAAGATAACTAAGTTACCAATATCATTATAGATCAACAACTCTTGCTATATGAGGTGTTGTCTATTAAAACAGCCCTGTTTTGCAATTTTTTGAAAAATAAGTTTTCATTAGATTTATATAAATTTTGACATGATCAATATTTTTCAATTATAAATAAAGGTCGATTTAAATAATAAAAAATCAAGATAATTGTAAAAAAAAAATTTCACAGAGACACATAAGGCCAACACATTACGAGATTGCCCGATAGTCACTGTTAAAGTTAACTAATCAAAATCAGAAATTAAATTAATCCCAAATCAGTCCAAAAATCAAAACAAATGATTAAACTCAATTATCTCAAAATGAATTATATGTAAAAAAGGGCTATTTTAATAGTTAACACCCAATATATCAAATAGTTAACCAAGAGTATGTCTTTGTACAAACAACAAGACAACCCAATAAATAAGCAACTTTAAAAGGTCAAATAAATACCTTTTTTCTTGTTTGAACTACATCTTTTCTAGCTTTGCTCATTAAAAAAAACAAAAATTGAAAACTTTAAATTGGAGTATATCAATTACCATATAAAGAGAACACTAATTTATAAAAAAACAATAAGCATTGATAAGGATCAGGTAATTTTTTATATTGTCAATGATTTACATTATTTACATTTATTAGTATAGTAGTACTCTAGATATACTTAGGGTACTAACTCTAAGTTATTGTCAATGCTGCAATTATCTACATCATTGTTTACATTTATCATCTAGGATTAGTACCCTAGATATACTTAGAGTACTAACATTATTTCAGTATAACATCTAATAAACCTATTAATAAATTCGAAAGTTTTTTTTAAAACTTCCAGCAATGATTACCCAAGAACTACTTAGTTAAATTCGGAGCAAACTTCTTTAACTCAATTCTAAAATATAGTAGAATTAAAATAAAAAAAGGTCATATAATTTGGGTTAGAAAAACAATCGCAAAATGGGTTAAAAAACTTAAAATATTGGAAAAATTTAAAATTGGGTAAAATTTTCTTTGAAAGATAATATCTTGACATCTAACTATCCAAATTCAATCAAAAATTTTTTAATTAAATTCTTTGGTTTGTAGAATTAAATAAAAAAAATTGATCGAATTTAAATAGCTGGTTGTTGAAAAATATTCATTAAAACTTAAAAAAATTAGCCGCAGCTTCTTTTTTAAGAAAATCAAAACTTTGAATAAATATTACTCATAACCTAATTCAATTAAATTTTTTTTATGTCAATCCTATGAGCACATAGAATTAAGATCAAAAAAATTCAATCGAATTTGATCAGGTAAATGCCATGTAATCTCCATTCAAAGTTTAGACATTTATAAAAAAAACAGTAGTCAAATTTTTTTTTGAATTTTAATGAGTATATTTCGACACCAGTTATTCAAATTCGATCAATATTTTTTTATTTAATTCTATATAACACTGAATTAAAATAAAAAAAAAGTTGGATAGTTGGCTGTCGGAAAATATTCGTTTAAAATTTAAATAAAAACTTTGTTGTAACATTTTTTTTAAATTTTTTTTTAAATTTTTTCTTTAAATTTCTTTTTTAAAAAAAACTTTAAATACCAATTTCTCAAAGAATAACTACCTAATCTGGCCAAAGTTTTTTATTTATTGTATTAATTTGTAGAATTAAAATAAAAACTTGTTCAAATTTGAAAGGCTGGTTATCAAAAAATATTTATTGAAGGCTAAAAAAAATTTGGCTACAGACTAGGTAAGTGTTGAGTAATATTCGTTCAATGTTTTGATGTTCTTAAAAAAGAAGCTGCGACCAAATTTTTAAATTTTTTTTAAGTTTTAATGAATATTTCTTGACAACAGCTATTTAAATTCGATTAATTTTTTTTATTTGAATTCTACGAACCAATAGAATTATAATAAAAAAATTTGATTGAATTGGATAGTTGGGTGTCGAGATATTTTATTTTTTTTAAAACTTTTCACAATCTTTTCTCAACAATTACTAAACCAAATTCTATGACCTTTTTTTAATTTAATTCTATAATACCATAGAATTAAGATAAAGAAGTTTTCACCAAATCTAATCAAGTCGTTATTGAGTAATCATCGCTAGAAGTTTTAAAAAAACTTTCGAATTTATTATTGTTTATTAGATGTTACAGCACAGAATGTGGGGTGCTGAAAAAATATAGCATTTTTAATAGATTTTAAAAGTTTTTGAAGTTTTTTTTTTAATCTGACTTTTTTTAATATTTGATAATAAATCAAATATTTTTATTCTGCTAAATTTTGTAAAATAAACACTATTTCCTAAAATTTTTATGTGTGCAACTCTTTAGTGCTTCAAAATACCCATTGCTCCATTATAAGGCCACGCAAAGTTGATTTTTTGTTTTGCATTACCCACTGTTCTATTTTTTTAATTTTTTTTTTTTTTTTTTTAGAACCAATTATGCCAATTGTTTGATTTTTGACATCTATTTTTTCCCACTATTTTCATCCAGTATCACCTGATGAGACCTTAATTTCTCATTGTTGTCTGATAAGATTGACAAGAAAAATATAACTGCTGGCCCAATTTTTTGATTCCTTGTTGTCAAATATAACCTTAAATGTGATCATTATTCTATTTGCAGTAAATTGAATTAAAAAAAATAAAATACAAAAAAAAAATAAAAAATAAAAAATTCATCTGTCCATTCCAAATTTTGAAATCCATGAAATGCAAAATGAAAAATCAACTTTGCGTGGGTTAATAAAAAAAAGTTGTTTTTTTTTAAGTAAAAAAAACCTATTAGTTTAAAATACTGTATAGATTCTGCTGATCAATTGAGCAAAATTTTAAATAAGTTAATAAATCACAGATGCCTATTATTTTAAAAATTTTTTCCTGGCCCAACATCATAGTGAATTTATAAAATTACTGCTATTATTATAATTTCTGAAACACCTGATAAAAATTAGCTGAATGATTTTTCAGCCAATTTATATTTTTCCTTTTTTTTTTTATTCGATCTCTCTTAAAAATTTTAGCACTATTATGCACTTTTATATTATATTCATAGAACTCTCACCGTAGATCACTTTACCAAAATAGAAACAAGAAAAAAAACTTTCCTGCGACATTTTCTCAAAAACTTACTAAGTAAATTAATATTTGGCTCTTAAGTAAAGTTATCCAGCACCCCAAAAACTACTTAAAGAAGATGCAAATTTTGTTAAAAGACTCCATCACAACAATTTAGTAGCTATAAATACCCAAAATAGCAACAAAGCAGTTTTCCAATTCTCCTGCAAAAGCAGTTCTAAGAACCCCCTACTTTTAGATAAACAAAAACATACTACAAGTAGTACTTTAAGTAAAAATAATCAAAAGCAACAAGTATCACACTTTATTAAGCCCCAAGAACTCAATAAAAACATGGCCACCGGAAGCTCTTCTTCCTACTTTAGATTTTTTTCTAGACCTTCAAAGCCTGTACAACCTGAAGAAACTCCTATCATCAGCTCACTGCTAGATTCT